AAGTTGATGACCCACTTTGACCTATCAATCTTTGGTGATATTCTTTCGTTAGTTTCCTTATAATAAATGACTGCAGACTTTTCTTCCATAGGTTTGTTGAACTTCTTTATTTGAGCATTTTTGAATTTCTTGAATACAGCTGATTTTGTTTGGTTGCAACTGTCCATCAGAAGCTAAAAGTCTTTTACACTAACTGTGTGCATCAGCTTACAAGGAAGTTCCTGGATATTATTCTTGATATTGTGAGAGTTTTTGACAATTCAATGATTTTCTTCTTTGAGACTGAGTTTATTGACTCATTCTTTAGCCGCTTTGATTCTGTCTGTAGGGATTGGTGCACGTAGACATACATATTTAGAGATTATTTGATTTCTAAGACGCCGAATATTGAATTTACACTGGCTTTTGTATCTGCCTTCTATCTGTAAAAGGCGTTTCAGTTTTTTGATTAGTATTCGAATGAGAAGACCATGTGTTTCCTTAATGTAGGAGTAAAACTTCGGAATACTTCAGAACCATATGAACTCAGTGGAGTTGCCTGATAGCAATATGTACAATAAATTGTGTCCTGAACATTATCCAGTAAATCGCACCATTTCACTGTGTAACATTTCTAATTAACAGACTAAAATGTAAATGCGATCTACCAAAGTGATCAAATTTTACTCCCATAATAATTTTACTGCTGCTTTCAGTCGCTGCCCTCTTATATATTCAACTCCCTCTACTAAAGTTATCTTAAGTGGTTTTATTCTTATGTAAGTAATTTTTGAGGAAATGATTGCGCAAAATGCAAAACGCAAATATCAATTACTCACGTCACAAACATCAGCGAATAGTTACTTGTCTAGCCCATACTGAAATGTAAATCACTTTACTCCTCAATTATTTTTTTAAGTTTTTCTGTCTCTTATTAATATATCCTAATTTCTTGGTCTCATTTCTTTAAATATTATTAAATGTCACATATATATATATATATATTATGATTATTTTTATTGTTATCAATATCATAATAATTATAAGACTTTCATTTTAGTCACACTTTGATCTATGGAAAAGATATTTTTGCAATGAATGAGTTTGAAGATATTATTTTGTGAAATAACTTCTAAAAAACTTATATTAATATCACAGGAAAGCATTTCATTCTAGTTGGTACGTATTTTTGGTGAAATTTTAATAAAGACTTAATACTTACACATTAAATTCTTGTGTCTGTATTATGGGTTGATATGTGATTATTTATTTACACGCTATAACCTTGTGGTGAGATTTATTCCGTGTGATGAAATATTTAAAATCAGATTATGGGAAAATTTTAGTGAATGAAAAAGTGAGGAAATAATCTTATACAAGTATAAAATTAAAACCATAAATAATTTGAGAAGTATTACACTAGAAAATATCATTCGAAATGAAGGTCCTTACATAGACGCAAAATAAAATGAAAAGTCTATTATTAAGTCACCAGTCAGTAAGAAATAAAGCTGTCTAGTCCCAACCAGAATTCCAACATAAAACAACAAAATTTATTACGCTGCACTGTTGTATTACAAAGCTAAGGGGCTTAGTTGCAAAGCTGATTCGTGGACCTCAGTCAATTTCAAGCACTGGAGACAAGACGTTTTAATCTTTTTCAGGGGATAAGCGATTCACATGAGCAGTCCAGTCCAACAAGAGGTTGTTCATTTCCTTAACAGCTTAGTAGTAAAGCCTCTCACTTCGAAACTAAATGAAGCATGTTTAAGTCATCAAGTGAACAGCAGTTTGCTTTTGGTACCGGATGTGCCTAGCTGATGAGTGTCAACTAATATGAATTATCGGTGGAAAGCTTCTTACTATCTGACTCTTATCACCTAATAAAAATACACACAGCGTTTAATAATCATCTTAGTGGAAAACAGTTTAAGTTGTGAGCAGTTATATCAAAGAAAAGCAGTCACGGAGCCAAGTAGGGGGTTTGAAAATATGTTCTGATCACCTCTTCAAAAGTAGAATGAAATAAGTAGAAACAAGGAAAGAGGTATAGATTCACGGCCATTTCTTATAGATATCAAAATAAAGTGGTACTTTCAGTGTTGACAGTTAAGTAACGTCTATGGATTTCGTTTGCCAAAACGTTATAAACAATGAGAGTCTTAACGAAGGAGTACATTTAAATGCATATTGTGCCCGCAGCGGATAGCACTTACCCACCCTTGTTTTGGCGACTTTAAAGTTAGCTGAAGCTTAGCTTTCCCTACTTAAAGATTACTCTGAAGATTCTAATTCAGTATACATATATATATCTGTATATATTCATACATATCCCTGTGGTATATATATATGTATATATCACAAGACAATTAAAAAGGAAGCGGCATTTGGGATTCGTATCTCGTGATGCTATTTCTCCAAAGCGACCGGAGTATCAATTCTTCATTTTACCACAAATAAATGTTGATGAAATGTTTCAGACTATGCTTGTTGCATATTTTTTGATAAAAAAATGTCTACTTCAACTATATGAAAAACAGCTGAATTTTTTTGTATGGTGTCTACTCTCAGTAGCTACAGCCACCTGATCATCCGATCAAAATTCGTTGACGTTTGCGTATAACCTACGTATTTCTGAAATACTTTTTTTGTGCGACAGTTAGCTAGTTTGATATTTTATTCAATGATGTGTTACTTGTTGTTTACTGGAATAATTTTCGCGTGTGATTTACTGTTCACAGTCGTGTCATATCAAACTTATTCATTAGTCATAGAAATCCCTATTCTGAAGGTTTTCATAGCAAATAAATCATTGACAAGGCCGTCTGCATAACTGAAGTTCAGATGAAGTGATGGTTCTGTTATGGAACTAAATCATTTTTGGTAGGCTATCGAAAATGTATATGCAAATATCGCTGGAACTGTTCACTTACCTATTCGCCTATACGTTTGTAGGCATGCGTAAGCTGAATAGTTCTTTTTGGAACTCCTTGATAAGTGACTGATAACAGAGACGACTTACTGTCATACGTATTCATCACTGACCGCTTGAACAGATGGTCATGTGTTCTCGAAATCTTCAAAATTTACCAGAAATCTTCTTTGGAAACAAGAAAATATATTTTTCTGTCGTTAACTATTTACTTAATGTTTGGTTTTTGAAAGATATGTCTCTGGTTTAATCGTGAGTTGATAATTCGTCAAAGATGTCTTTTTTTCTCTGCCTATCCGGAAAACATTTTAATAACTCGGTTTTGTGCTACAAATGTTAATATAACGTATACCTAAGCAGACAGGGTGCGAATAAATATTACCACATGCAGATCATATCCGATAATGGAAACTAACTTAATAAGCATACACCGATACTCAATGTCATTATTGATTAAATACTAAGCAATGTGAACGTTTTAAGAGAAAATGTTGAATACGACCCTGATTAGTTAACAAGTCATACTGCACTGTTTTTAATGCTGATAACCACTCTATGATTAATTCTATTCAAACTCAACGTTTTAATCACATTCTGCTGTTGAATAAACTGATGAACTACAGTAAGGCTTCTGCAGAAATGTTGTATTTTTACTTTGATTCTGTGATAATGTATGTTATGCATGAGCTGATGATTTATATCACTAGTAGATATATTCTACACAGAATACATTGCCAGTTTTCTATTGTTTCAGTCTATCAGAAGATAACTCATTTTCCCTCATCTGCTACCGCTGATCTGAAAAACATCGATGGAGGATATTAACCAAACTGAGCATCGGTAGTTTTAGTGGTGTTAAATGAAATGTTTATATTCGTCTTTCTTGTGGAACTGAGGTTGATGGCAAAACTGTGGAAGTTATCAAAAGATTTCGGTCAGCGTTGAACACTTGGGAGTTAATGAGTGTGCAATTTACCTTCTGGTTACCAACACGTGCACAAATCTCGTTCACTTTAGAATCTAATGGTGTAGGGATAAATTCCCTTGCTTCGGAACTGTGCAAATTAGGTCCGTATCACCGATAAAATGCTATTTTACTCATATCAGGAGATACACCTTACTGGTTGATGCGAATAAGTAGGAGACCCAAGCTTAAGATTGCCAGTAGATTGACTTTGAACATTTGAAATTAGAAACATTCATCTCTCGAGAGTGGTAATTCATGTTAAACCATGACATGAAGCATATTGGATCTGTCATAACCTACAAATCCATCAAATCACAAATCAATTTGAAATGTCAAACTTCGCTGTATATGTAGCAAATATTCCTGACTGATTTAAAATGTTTAAATCCTAAACAAGTTTGAACATTCATTTAGTTTCTTACTCACCCACACATCAATTGTTTTAGTGAGAGATATGTGTATGTTTTTATCTATGAACATACAAATCAGTCAACCAGAGAAGTCAGTCTTAGAAAACTGCAGGAATAACCAATAATTTTTAACCAGTTTGATTTAAAATTCCCTTTGGATTAGTAAGGGAGGACCTAGTTTGACACTCAGTAGGTCTAATCACAGATATTTTGATTTCTGCATTGTTGTCTTGCATCTCTGTGTGTTTTCCACTCACATCATGACCATATCAAAATGCCAGGCAGCTAAAGTGGGATTGAAAGTTGGTGAGTATTTGTGATTCGTTGACCAGCAGGTTGATCACTAGACAAGTGACTTCATGAATGGTTACCTGCCAGAATTTCATGGCAGGTTTAATTATTTTGCCTGTATATACGAACCACCCAGCAAAAACACACTGTCCGTTTAATTCGTTTAAAATGTTCCTGCTTTACTATCTTACACAACAGATTAACCACTCATCATATAAACTGTAGAAGAAAACGCAGAACTGCCCATTAATAATAATAAAATAATATTCATTTTTCAGTTAACAAAACTATTGAAAATAATTATCATGTCGTGTTCTTACTTTATTTTTTTCTAACTAGATAAAATGAAAGTATCTTCCAGTTAACCTATGAGCATTGATTACTCACTATCTTTAATTCACATAATAAGTGCGACCAAGTAATGAATTACTGTGAAAAAGGAGGTCACTTATCAGTGTACGACAAAGGAATAAACTGTGTTGGTTGTGATCAACACCCACTGAGGCGACAACAACACCAAAAACAACAAGAATATCATGATTCATCGTGTCCGTCTTGTCCAATAGAAACAAATCAAAACTTTCCAGACTCTGACAACCTTTCACTTAGAAACAGAGAATTTAAGCGTAAAAGTAAATTGGAATTATTTTGCGATTTATCTTCAATACGTGGTGTACAGAGAATCTATCGTTCACAAACTCCATTTATTCGTCTTTTATGGCTTCTATTCGTCATTATAATGACATGCGTTTTAATGGTTAGCTCGGGTTTTCTTATCTCTGATTATTTACGTTATTCTACAGCATGGAATACACGCAGCCTGTTGGATGATAAATCAGAGTTTCCTGCTATCACATTATGCGCCCACAATCCATTCACTCTTGATGTGAACAGACTGTGGAAGGAGAAGATTGTACCTAGTCCAAGGAGATAAAATCACGTTTAAGACAATTACTGATAACTATGCTAGATAATGGTATGACAGATTATACTGGTGATTTGGCGTTTTCTGATTCGATTGAGTTCTACTACACGAATTTGAATTCCAACGACACTATTAAAGTGGGTCATGATAAAGACATGCTTTATCACTGTATGTTACATGAAGAAGGTTCAACTGTTGTGGCGGAGAAGTGTGATTTAGAACCGGAGACATCAATACGAATACGACGTTTTACACATCCAAAATACTTCAATTGTTGGACTATAGATGGTAAACCAAATGCATCAACGGCCGATGTTACAAGATTGATTATTTTGGCACATTTAATCCCTTTGAAAAAAATTGAAGACGCTAACACCTCCTTCATTATGGATTCATTTACACGTGGTGAAGGTATAAAGGTAGTTATCCACGAAAGAGGTACATACCCTGAAATCGAAAAACATGGTGTGAATATACAACCAGGTCGCATGAATGAGATTAACTACGAAACACTATTTTGGAAACGTTTGCATACGCCAGTATCCCCATGTACAAGTGAAGAAATTTACATTGAAGACTTAGGTGTCCAATATACATATAAACAAACTCAGTGCCTCAATCGTTTGTTACAGAATGAACTATTTACAAGATGCGGTTGTCTCAACTCCGAATGGCCTAGGTCTATTAAATTACTAGACAGTGAAAATTTTATGCCTTACTGTCAAAAGCTACCTATTAATGTCACTGATAAACATGGAGCTGAACAAATGAAGACACGTCTTGACTGTTTTGGCAGTGTTATGGCTGACTTAAAACAACTAAAAGAAAAGGCTGTACAAAAAGGTATTTGTATTCCACGTTGTGGATTCTACACTTATGACACGAAATTAAGTGTCACTTCCTGGGATCCAGATCCACACAAACTAGCCTTATACACTAAAGGCTACCGACACGTTGACAGGTTTCTACGTGAACCAAATGAACGAAAGTATATTGATGAAATACTGAAGAACTTTGACGATTCACTGAACCCTTCAAAGAATGATGATCATTCAAGTTCAACAGAAACACTGTTTTCAAATGATTATCAAAAATTTGATGATGGAACCCACACATATATCAGTCTAATAAGGCAAGACTTTGATACAACAGTAAAAGAGGAACGTTTAGTTTTTGATATTTATATTTTAATATCAAGAATAGGTGGTTTATGCTCTTTGTGTATTGGATTAACAATGGCATTCATTGTTGAATTAGTTGAATTCCTCTACTTACTTTGTTGTAAAGCAGATATGCGCCTAACTCAATATGATGAAGTTTATAAACATAATCGGTCTACAGTGATGATAGAAAGACATTTTCCACACGATAGAGAAAATCAACACGGTCAACACCAATACTATCAACAGCGTAGCCACTGTCAGCAGCAAGACCAGCAGCATGAATGTAAATCCTCAGGCAACACAAACCATCATGAATCTCTTCAACAGAATCGAAGGGATGTAGACAACTCGATGGTTGGTCATAATAATACTGTGTCAAACTTCGAAATAAACTCCAATTTTCCTTTTCCAGTAAATACAGAAAACAACACACAAAAGTGTTCTCAACTAGTAACACCGGTAGTTATACAGAATCCCACTCAAGGTTAAGTCACAAAAGTACGAAAAAAACCGATAGGTAACTTCACCGCATTCAAACTATTAGTTCTGCATAGGTCTAGTGAAAATAATACTCTTAATGACTATCCTTCTTCTGTGATTCAATTTATACTTCCGATTGTCACAGCCAGCTTCTCCATGATCATGTATTGTTGACGTTATTCACAATGACTTTTGTTAACTCACCTCCATGTTCTTAACAATCATATGTCTTCAAGGTGTATTCACTCTATCTGTTCTGTACTTGACTTTCTATTTTAGATCTTTTTTCTCAAAGAATTTTCTCAATGAGTTCAATCAACATCTTTCAAGTCTGGATGAATTCATTACATACGTGCATGTGTAGATTTTTGTTATTGTTTTCAGTGTATTTCTTCCATTTCCTTTATTTTCTAAAATTTTCTTGATGAAATTACAAAGATACTCTGGAAAAAACTGTTATCATACTTTCGTCAAGCCTTTTTTTATTTCCAACAATTGTTCGATTCTTTTAATTATACTTCTGTAAATCCCAACCCCAAAACACTGCTTATATGATGTAAATTGATTAGAAGAATGGGAGACAAAATAAACCTTCAGCAAGATGTTTCCAATCCTTTTATAAAAAGAATTGATTAGGTCAAGAGAATTAATTATGACTTAACTGAAGGATGGTGATGGGTATGTAATAAGATTTTATGAATGAAGTTGATGTAGACAAGGCAGAATCTTCAATTCAATGTAAGAAAAGACCTAGACTAAACTACATTCTTTAAAAGACAGAAACTTTACTATTATTGTATTTTTCCATATAACATAAAACATTTGTTTGTGTTGTATCTGAATATCAAGAAAGATTGATCACTAACTACAAACCGTGTAGCGTTTGTAGAGTTATAATTTAATAAAAATAATGCTCTAGTAAAAGCAAAGAAGAAGCTCGCCAATGAGTATAGACTAGAAACTATTTACACAAACCTTTCCTTTGTATGCAACTGCGAAGTGTAAGAACTTGAAATGAAACACATTTGTGCCAGTTTTTCAGTTAATCTGTTCACAGATTCTAATCTAATAAGACTATGAATAGAAGAAAATCCTGTTTTGTAAAATGTATTGAGTAGTTTTCAACCATATATATTTGCCTCTTCATATTTCTTTTTTAGGAGAGGAGGCATGAATATGGAAATATGTTTTCGTTTTCTTTAGAGATGTAACGTGCTCTAAAAACTAATTCATTTTAACAGCACACGCATTCATTTTTAAGGAACGAATCACGTTGGAACTCGTCTAATGACATTTTTCTCAACTAGTTATTAACTGCGGTCTTATTCTCAATATCTTTTGGTTACTGTATCGTCTTCATTCTACATTGGTTCACTTGATGCTTCATGTTTAAAATTACTTCAGTTAATATCCAGAATTGTGTACTTTAGACAGGATAAGAGGATCAGCTTTCGTGCTCACAACTTGGTTATGAATTTTTAGGTGTCACTGAGGCGTGACTGTTCTAAATAATCAACTGAATTCATGTCACTGTATGGAACTGCTGGTCAACTGACTGCCTTCAGCCTTCAATGTGATATGCAACCACTTAAATGCTAAGAATATGTGTAGGATAAAACAGTTATGATCTCAGCATTATATGACAAAGCGTAATCCAAAGGCTAGTAAGTAAACAAATTGCTGCGAGCGGAAATCAAAATAAAAAAGGGAAATTTAGTAAGCAGTAACTCTTATTAGTGGAAACTAATAATAAGGTAAGCTGTACTTTATCTGACTGAAAATTAATGACCACTCGGGTTCCTTAGAGTGCATTTCCACGTCACTCATATCTCCTCCTTATTTTGAATTCCTGCTGTGTTCACCTCTATTATTTATTGACGACCGGAAGAATATGCAGGTGAACTATAACGATGAAGGTATTATTGCACTTCCCACTGATCTTGATAAACTAATGGGATAGTTTTATTCGTACAGTTTGAAAAACATTTCCGACAGATGGGCAGTTATTCACCTGGGTAATAGGGAATCCATTCGTTATTTTTGGAAGGGATCACAACAACCATGTGTTCTGAAACAAAAATATTTGGAATTTACTATAAGCCACAACGTGGAAAAAATTTGAGCATTTCGAATGGCATGTTCACTTTGGAATGGTTTCAAGAGTTTCCAAAGATGTATTTCAAGGAAAATAGGTTAGACTTACTGCATCAACGTAGTCAGTATGCACTTCTCGAGAGAAGCTAGCATATTAGGTGTTCAGATTTAAGTATCAAGACAGTATCAGGAATTTCTCATCATTCCTGTAAAGACAGATGAAAAAGGTCAAGATCTTTTCTTTTCTAAGAAGATGACTTTCATGTTAACACTTGATATTCTAAATAAAGGTTTGGAAGTTTCTGCGGTCATTCTCTTACTCACAGGAAATTAGTTAGATCATGACCAAACTAACTTCTAATATAATGCATTGTAATTAACCGTTAGAGCAAATTATAGCAGCTCAAACGGTGTATGCATTTAGACAGAGACTGTACCTTCTTAGATATGACTCTCACAGGCTTTTTGACCAAACATCCTCACAACTGAAGGCTGGAGTATGATTTGGGTAAAGTTGAACATTCAAAGACTTGAGCAGTGGTTACTGGTCATCATTTATGTGCTTACGATTTGCGAATTTGCCATTTTCGACCAGCTGAATCACTACCCAAGTATTACTACAGAACTTCAGCACTATGGCCAAGTTTATTTATTGCATCAAGGTGATCACATGGGGCGCATGTTATTACATGCATATCAGTCATAAAACTTGGGTAGGACAAAACAACGATCTTAAAACCTAATATAGAAGGGTGGAAAGAGAGGTTTGTCATTGGCTAACTGTCTATCGAATTAACACCAGATAGATATGACACTGAAATTACTCGGCGCCAGCCATGTAAGTTTGGGAAGTTGTACCGCCACTAAAACTAAAGAATGAAAAACAATAAGGTTATACCAACCAAACAAGAAAGCCGTGCGATCATCTCGTTATATTTATGAGATAAAATGTATGCTTAAAATGTCTTCCAGTAAATAGCACTATTTCACTATGTGCTGTACCAGATAAACAAATCTAGACAGGAATTACACTCTAACACAGTGCGTAGATTCTACTGTCATAAGAACTGGGGTACATTTTGGTTTTTCCGTCTTCTTCTATTCATTTTGTATGAAAACATTTCAGCCGACGGCTTGCTTTGGCATCCGATTTCATCGAGTATATTTCTGATTAGATTCATTCTTTTCAGTCAAAGCAATCTCAGTCAACTTTGTGATTCCATTACTCTTTACTAAATACCGGGAAACAGACTTTCAAAAGAAGGGTTAAGGTCGAAAACTGAAAATAAGCATGAACAGAATTCAGCCAACGTGAATGATTTTTCCTTTGAAGGATAATGGGGATTTATTAGTCGATTTCAGGTTGGCATTCATCATGGACCGACATCAGTTGGAAAAATGTTTCATCCTAGTATGGGACTCCACAGCAGTGCGCATACATACTCCCCTCCAGGGATCATACATAGGATCTGCAGGTTACGTGGCCACTATGTTACCATTGAGTGACCGTGTTAGAGTCCAGTGGTTCGTGCTTCATACTTTCAGCAAGTCGCAACATAGCACGACCTTTATTTAATGTCATCATTGAGTAATCTTCCTCATGTCCGATATGCTTGGCAGACCGGTGGGGTCAACCATGTGAGACATGAGGACGACTGCACAACTTCATCGCAAATAAACAATCCTGCCCGCAAATGAATGTCTGTCGAAATCCAAGAACAGTACGGGAGGGTTGAGTTAATCGCACATTAACCATTTTAAAGCTTTTTGCCGGACAGTTATTCCTTTTACTACCGTTTTTATCTTGTTGATTGAAGACAAATACAAATCATGCAGAGCTTCAATTTTTTGTCAACACTTGTTCATTCTTCTGTCATTTGTCTCTTCTTTCTAGGTGTAAGGAATCGGTAAAAAAAATTGGAATACAACCATTTAAACTTATTCAGTAATGAATAACGTCATTTTTCATCACCCCACTTAGGCGTTAGCTCGAACCCTAGTAAATGCGGAAAATAGTTGTCTAACTATAAGATTCGACTTTGAACGAATAAGGCGTTAGAACACATGATGCTAACTTGACTCAGGATGTTACATGTTAAGGGTCAGTTGGCAGGAAGGTGTGGAATCTGATCTCAGGCTTCTTGACAATCATCAGCAATGGTTTTCTGCTTGACCAAGGTCTGTCAACAAAGTTTCGCAGTATGAACACTTACCATGAACTCCTGTGACTAATCTCCAAAATATCTTAATAATAAGGATAGATTACAAAAACTATATCCAAAGGTTATCACAGATTATTAGATGATATTTGAATTTTACAGTTTCTCACCATTTACTTGGCTGGACTAGATGAAGCAACCTTCTGTCTAAGAGTTGCCGTAAAACGATCATCTCTGTAAGCACATAAACTTTGTTTTGACTCTAATTCCTGTAATGTGACTAACAATGAAATCGAAGACAAACGTTTAGTCCTATTTAACGACCACTAGTGTGATGTGCATACATCCCAGAAAGCGTTATTATTTATTCTGAAGTTTAAATCAAATAGATATCGCTTTTGGTCTGCGTATGTAATGCACAAGAACATTAACTCATCAAACCTGAGACAAACTTTATTGTATGAATTCGACTGCTGTAAAATATCAGGAAATGTAAAAATATCTTATTTTCTATTATTATGTACTCTTAGTAATCAAACGCTTCGTGAAGTTACCAAACATTCAAGACTACGATGAACCAAAAGGAAGTAAAAATATCAACAAACATATTCAGCGATACTGTCTAAACATCAGTTTATATTTAGTTCGTATGAGATTAATTATTTCGTTGTCAAATATTTACGAACAAGTAATTTTTAACTTTGAAATGCTGTTGGTTGGCTTCATCCGTACTCTGGATCCCGCTGTAAAGAAAATCAACTCAAACTTGGAAATGGTAATTCTAGTTTCGAACTTATTTTATCACTCAAATGACCAGTTACGCTGCATATAATAGGTTAGTATGTCGCAAGTGAATCAATTACATGAAGTCCATTCATTTTCTTATACAAGCATCGTCAACTCCGAATGCCCACAATATACCTACCGGATTCTGAGTACCTGGAGGAAGAAATCACAAACTGTCTAGGTACTTGCGAGTCGTGATTACAGATACAAATCGCAATTTGGTAATGGCAGTTAAGGGTAAAGTGTTATCATTTGATTTTAATGGTTATGTGGACGATATCTCCTTAATGAGCGACAACACACAGACTATAAAAATCAGTTGGTGATTAGTCTCTGTCAGTATGAAAGTGCTTTGCGTTATATAAGTGCAAATATTGGCAGAAGCGTGTGCCTACGCTCATATTTGGTGATGAGCCGTTAGAAGTAGTCTAAAAGTTCGTGTATCTGGGTAGATGTATGGATGCTGGTGGAGATGGAAGTGATGGAATTTTCACCTGCATATCAAAAGCCAGAGTAGCAATAAAACTTCAGGTTAACAACGCTCCGATGCAGGCAGTTC